TCTGTGTGGGTGTGCGTGGGAAATGCATTCCCAGCCTCTTAAGAGAGTTCCAGGAGATTAAGAACCATTCCTAAGCAGAAACTTACAATTAAAGGCCCAACATCCACCTCCTTTCTTGCCATGAAGAGCTCCTTGATCTGCTCACACTGTAGGATCTCCTTACTTATGTACTTGGAGAAATCGGTTGATGTTTTGCCATATTTACAAGGCATTACAGATGTGAAGTCCGGCCCACACGTGTACAGGTAAAATGCTTCCTCCGGTCCGATCTTTGCACCTAAAAACCCAGAGGAGATGCTGTTAAATCTTTAATATACAACAAAGCAAAGCCCACACATTGCACTGGGGACTCCACAAGGCAGAGCACGGGCCAGGCCAATTCAGGGGCAAAGGCAACTGAAACCGCATTGGGGAAATGATCTGCAGGAGCTGAGGACCAACAGCTCCGAGTAATCCATTACATTTTTTCAATTAGAGTCACTATCCAAGCCTCCTCACAGGTTTCAACGTGTAGCAAGGCTGCACGTAGCTACAACACGCTGGGACAGAGATCCAGCCCTTTAAGCAAACAAGCACCACCAGCTCTCCATCCCCTGCCCCAAGGTTTCATTTAAAGAAATTTAAAGCAGCACTGAAGTAACTGGAATTGCCAACTACTGCACTAAAAGAAAGCAAGAGAACAGTGGCAGAAGGGCACATTACGAAGTCCCCAGTAGTGAAATATTTGCCAATGTCCTCCCTGATATATTATGCTGGTAAAGAACGTATTGTTGCTTTTACTGTCAAAGCTTGGCACGTTGGAAAAGTTGTCAACACAATAAGGGGGAAGAGGAGGAGAAGACGACTTATTAAAGGAAAACAAAGCACGCAAAAGTACCATTAAACAGAAGCAGGTTTCCAAGATCCCATCTGCCCGACAGCCGGAGCGATTCCTCGTGAGACGAGGTACAGTGGCCAATCATGCAAAACGTTTTATTGCTGTCCGATGACAAGCTGGATTTCCTCGGCAGCGCGTAATCTAAATTAATCTCACACCTCCTAAAAACACATAGAAACAAGTTTAAATATTAAGAAGTGATCAAAATTGTTATCCAAGGTACTCGGCTTAGGCTTAAGATCAGATTTTAATATTCAGTAGATGAGAAACCATGCTGTTATCAACATTAGGTTACTAAAGCCTTCTTAAATTTCTAGGCACCGTAAAACTCAGTTGTGCAGTGACGTACGTACTCAAATACTGCACAGAGCAGTCCCAGCTGGGGCTGCCAAGCCGCCCAGATCTCCTGGGTCTGGAATTCCTTCCTCCTGGGTCTGGAATTCCTTCCTCCTTCCCTCTGACCCCAAAGAAGAAACTGTATACAGCACTACACACACTGCTGAAACAGCAGCTTTTCAATGAATTCTACTATTATTAAGCATAGCATTTGAGTATGTCTATGTAATTATATATATAAGGACTACTGAATAGTCTTTGACGACACTAACAAGTCATGCAAGCTGTGGTTCCCACACGCTGGCAATACCAGATGCTGAGGGTTTCCCTCCACCAGGGAACGCTGCCGGAGCCAGTGCAGGCCCAACCATGGGCAGGGAGCTGGGAAAGCATCCAAAACCTCACCTACATCTGCATGAGCGGACTCACTGGGCTGTAAAGGTCACCTGAAGCTTCCCAGAACGGCCCAACTATCAGCAAATTGGCAACTAATTCCATATATATGGGGACCTCATCGACTGCACGTGCAGAACACGGTAGTGTTTTTAGTTTCCCCTGCATCTGGGGATTGGGACTTTACTGCACATCAGCACGCACAGACCGAACAATGCCGGGAGGAAACCAAGCCGCTTAAAAATTACCTCCATGCTGTTACAAGAACAAAGTGAACAAGTATTACACTTTACCGTTCCAGGTTTAACTGCAGGAAGAAGAGCTGTGCAACAGCTTTTCTCCTAGATACAGTTTTAGGAGTATCTTTAAAAATGTTCCTTTTTTACTGGCCAAATTCTGGAGGATTAGTAAATAACTTGTGATACATCAATTGTTGTACAACATGGCATTCTGACCACCTGAGTGATATTTGGGATACAAACACCTTAACCAGAGACACTACACCTGCTAGCTTCACGCCATAGCTTGGTTTGGATCTTACTCAAGGTCTCGTAAGCACTTGCACCTCCTTCACTTATTCATGATGAAGAAACATGGATGTCTGCGCTGGTCCATGGTCTGAACTGAAGATTCCCAAAGCGAACAAGACCATTTTGGGTATTTCTGGGGAATTCCTAGCAGTGTAGGACAATGCTCTCCTACCCTCACACTGAACCGTAACTTCGGCTTGCACCAAAACAGCGCAGTGTTTTCCTACCAGGGAAGATCTAAAAAAGACACTACTCTGCCCTGGTGAGACCACATCTGGAATATTGCGTCCAGTTCTGGGCCCCTCAGTTCAAGAAGGACAGGAACTGCTGGAGAGAGTCCAGCGTAGGGCTACAAAGATGATGGAGGGAGTGGAGCATCTCCCTTCTGAGGAGCGGCTGAGGGAGCTGGGGCTCTTTAGTTTGCAGAAGAGGAGACTGAGGGGAGACCTCATTCATGGTTATCAATATTTAAAGGGTGAGTGTCACGAGGATGGAGCCAGGCTCTTCTCGGTGACAAACAATGATAGGACAAGGGGGAACGGACACAAACTGGAACACAGGAGGTTCCACTGAAATTGGAGAAGAAACTTCTTCTCAGTGAGGGTGACAGAGCCCTGGCCCAGGCTGCCCAGAGAGGTTGTGGAGTCTCCTTCTCTGCAGACATTCAAAACCCGCCTGGACGCCTTCCTGTGTAACCTCATCTGGGTGTTCCTGCTCCGGCAGGGGATTGGACTGGATGAGCTTTGGAGGTCCCTTCCAATCCCTGACGTTCTGTGATTCTGTGATGACAAGTATCTGTATGTAACTAGTGCGTCCTTACCTCTGACCAGAAACCCACACAAACAGCTTTCCGTGGACGTTTTTCTTGCCCTCCGGCTGCTGCAGATAGGTTATTGCCAGATGCTGCCACCTGCCCACCAGGAATGTGTTCTCTGGAGACTCGGCCTGCGCCAGCAGACCGGCTTTCATCTCGTCGTTTGGATCCATGCACATCCTACGGAAACAACAGGAAAACAAGGAGGCGTTCTCAGATTGCCACTTGAAGCCCCAGATCTGCAATTTCTTGGCCTCAGTTACTTATGGCACACCTTAACTGTCACAGATCATTTTACTTATCACAATGCTGTATTTGGAGTGCTCAACACAAGCTGGGGAAACCCTCCCCTTACTGTTGCAACTGATTTATTTAACTTGTTTTACATTTACAATAAGGATATTATCTGTATTTGACAGAGAAGCTCAGTTCAGCTTGTTGAAAAACGCAGATGCTTTGAACGCCGTGGAATAGCACGTTCTGAAACTGCAGCTCTAGACCCACTTTAAGGATCCATTGTTTATGAGAACTCAATGAGGGCTAAAACATGCGCAGAAGAGCAAAACCAAGAGTGTTGCGGTAAGCATTAAGTAACACCAAGCTTCACACCTAAGGTGTGAAAACCTCCAGCTACAAAGGCTTTTGCTGACCTTCACACATTTCCTGAGCCACGTCATTAATACCCGAACTGCTGCCTTGCACTGCATTATGTTCATGACTGATCCTGCATCTTCCTTTGGGCAGTTATCTGTATCTGACCACACGAGACATGCAAGACCAGAACATCGTCAGTGCTTAATCCCATAGCTCTGTGTACAATTGGATGCTGCCATGAGCGTGCAAGACCACTGCAGAAATGGGTTCTCTGCTCCACACAAGCTCTGCCTGCAAGCTGCTGCTGGGAGCACCCACTGACAAGAGCACCCTGGGACTCGCAGCCCATACCGAAACACGAACGCTCCGGTGTTCAGGTCCGCCCAGACTTGGATCATCAGCGCTTTGGAGCCCAGCGAAACGATGTGAACGCAGCCGTCCTCGACAAGTTTGTCCCCCAGGCTCAGGTACTCCATCCCTGCAGACTTTGTTTCGTCTGGAAACACAAACAGGGTTATACACCATTACTGTGAAATACAACAACAACGCCTGTCCTAGCAGCTACCAAGTGTGAAAATTAACAGTTCAGGCGCTGCAGAGAACTGGGTTTGTTTAGTGGGGGCTTTTTTGTTTCATACTGAAACAGGGCAGCTTGACATTAACTCAGCACTTCGCATGTTTTGCTTGTAACCACATAAATCCACTAATAAATACACCAATATAAACACACTTGATCTAATTCAGTGATGCTCTCGACATGCCACCTCACGTTACATTCCTATCCTGAACTGGCAGTCTTGGTCCTTAAGATTTTTCTTCACAAATCACTCCCTTTAAGCACAACCTTTTACTTTACTTCACCAACCAAAAGCACAGACCTTGGAACAAAAGCAGCTTTAGTGAGCTCCAAGATCCAGGGTCAGGTTTTTCCCCCCTTTTATTCAAATACAGTAAGAAAAAAGGAGTACACTAAAAGGTATTCCAAGTGTTGATAGGGAGGCATTTTAAATAATTTAAGGAATTTTTCCACCTAAAGACTCTGCTCAGAGGAGTTTGGGAGCAGGGGGCCTCTACAGAAGCACCATCAGGGAAGTTCTGCACAGCTCCTGGCATTCACAGTGGTGTTTGTTGATGGCTGTCGACTACAACAGTGGCACACACAGGGGAAGCTGGAGGGTTTACCCTGAGTCAGCCTCAGGATCCAGAGCACCTTTTAGCTAAGGGCTCCAATATTTAAACCCTAAAGCACACAGATTCACCAGCTCTCTGTTAAAGAGCAAAAAAGCCACTTGTTTCATCAATACTTCAAACAAATTTGAGAGCAGTCTTTTCCCATGACCTGCCAGCTGCAGCATTCGATATTTTCTTCAGCATAGCGTGAAGGCATTTTACTAAAGTCACAAATTCAGTAAGAATACTCAATTTCTATGGAAGCAGGTATTAATTTCACTTAAGGACTAAGGCTGGACATGTTTTTGAGTGTATGACACAGTACTCAGAAAAACCAGAGACCACTCCT